GCCGTGATATTTCAGTGCCTGAGGCCCATCGATTCAAACTGAAATTAACTTATTTTTCAATCAGCCTAGGGCTGCCCCTGGGGGTGACTCTTCTTTTGCCGCCTCCTGAATAGAGCCGGAGCAATTTTTCATCAAAAGCTGATGCCTCGGCCGCCAGGGCGGGGGAGGGGCCCGCAGGGAAGGGCGGGGGACCGTCAGAGGCGACCTAATGGAAATCGCGGAGGAGATGGACAGATCGTCCCCAGCCCGCCTCTTTTCTCCGCTCACCTGCAACCCCGCTTCCCTGGGGTGCCTCGGGCTTCTCACCGCATCCCCCATCGGCAAGCGTCAGGACACCCAGGGCTTTGAGGGACCCTGAGAGCCTCCCACCCCTTAAGGGGCATTGCAAGGGAGCTCCTGGCTCAGCCGCTAGAAGTCTCTGAAAAGCTGCTTTGGAAGGCCAAGAAATTCTCCCTCCCCAAAGTGGCTGGGATTCTGGGGTCTCTTCCAAGCACCCACTGGTACCCATTCAGACCCGACATCGGCAGCGAAAGATTCCCAGGCACCCCACCCGGAGGCTTCTCTCTCCACTCCTTTCACTCCTCATTCCTAGCAAAGGTGGCCTGGCTGGGCTCAGCCGGGACAGGGCCATGGCCAGGGCCAGCAGGAGTGCCCGGGCTTCTTGATACCTGGATGAGTTTCCCCCGGGACCAACCACGACCCTCGCTCCCCCAGCCCACGATCAGCAGTGCCTTCCCAGACGGCTCTGGCCTGGGCTGCTGGTGGAGGAACCCTGGCCTAGAGGAATGTTGGTCCTGCCCTTCTGGAAGTTAGAAAACCGGCCTGTTCAGTGAGGAGGCATGAACACGCGCACCAGCTCCCAGGCTCCAGCTGCTCAGCTGCAAACCAGGGCCACTCAGGTCCTGCCACTGCCCAGGCCCTCTCCCCAGAACTGCTCTGATAGAAACAGGACTCATTTCACTTGGCAGCTGTTTTGCTTTGCTCCTGAACACCCCCCCCAACCTGGAGGGACCCCCAGGGTACCACAGGGTTGGTGAGCGTAGGTAAGGCTGTCCTGCCTGGGGAAATACTCCAGACCGGACTAAGAGCCTCAGGCCAGGTCCCTGGCAGCCTGTCCCTGACGCGCTCTTCTGCATGGGCAGGTCTGGTTCCAGAACCGCAGAGCCAAGTGGAGGAAGCGAGAGAAGTGCTGGGGCCGCAGCAGCGTGATGGCGGAGTACGGGCTCTACGGGGCCATGGTGCGGCACTCCATCCCCCTGCCCGAGTCCATCCTCAAGTCGGCCAAGGACGGCATCATGGATTCCTGTGCCCCGTGGCTGCTGGGTAAGAGCCCGCACCCTCCTTGGGGCCCTGCCCCTGTGGTGAGGGAAGCGGGCTCGCTGGAGGGAGGGACAGAGGGAACAGAGCCCTGGACAGGGGGCCCCGGGCCTGGGTAGCCTAGGAGAGAGGCCCTCAAAGCAGACCTTCCAGTGTACTGGGGGTTCAGGCCAGGTGGGCCCTGGGTCTGGGGCCTACTCCTTGCACCTGTCCACAGGGCGGGGGCCCCTCTCCCGGAGAGTCCCTGACTGGGGATTCTCTTGTCCTGTGAGGACAGTGTGGCTGTTGCCCTATGGCTGGTACTCTCCCTCCTCTTGGCCAGAGGTGGGCTCATGGTGAAGGGGAATGGAAGGGACCCCAACCCCTTTAGCCACCATTCTGGCTTTGCCCGAAGGACTTCTGCCCCACATCTCTCCACCTGCCATCTGGACCTAACATCTGATAACACCAGCTTATCTTGGGGTTCTAAGATCTGGACTCCCACGGGGAGGGATAGGGGAGCACGTGCTGTGCCCGGAAGGGACAGAACAGGCTGCTGGGGGTCAGGGGCCCAGGGGTTTGGCGTGGAGAAGTCCTGGCAGGCCTGCTCCCGGCTGCGGCTGCGGGTCTGCAACCTCCTTGCCCTCCGCCCACCCTCCCCGTCCTGACCCCGGGACTCGCGTGACGGCGGTGTGTGAAGTAAGGCTTTCTGCTCGTCCTTAATTCTGGCCTCTCTCTATCTTTGCTGTTTTCAGTTCAAGATGGCTTTCCCAGGCGCTTTTCTAAACCCGAATACCAACAATTCTTTTTAGGGATGCACAAAAAGTCGCTGGAGGCGGCAGCCGAGTCGGGGAGGAAGCCCGAGGTGGAACGCCAGGCCCTGCCCAAGCTCGACAAGATGGAGCAGGAGGAGCGGGGCCCCGATCCCCAGGCGGCCATCTCCCAGGAGGAACTGAGGGAGAACAGCATCGCGGCGCTCCGAGCCAAAGCTCAGGAGCACAGCACCAAGGTGCTGGGGACTGTGTCTGGGTCCGACGGCCTGGCCCGCGGCGCCGAGCAGCCAGAGCAGGAGGACGCTGTGGATGAAGACCGGCCGGCGGAGAAGCTCAGTCCACCACAGCTCGAGGACATGGCTTAGGTCAAGGCGCGCTCAGACCCCGGAACCCCGGACTCTGCTCTGCTAGGGTCTGTCGGGCCGGGAGGTGTTCTCCAAGACAGGGCCCCACCCTGGCC